TACCACCCCCAGCTAATATGAGCTCCAACTGAACCAGTAACTGAAAGGTGAAAATAACTTAATCCCATTATCCAGATTATGAGTGATCAATTTCCCCCCCAAAAAGAGAAATCTGGTGAGTAAATCCCATTCTCCCATGCATGCCACTTCCCAAGTCAAATGTAAAATAAGCACTTTGAGCTGTACAGTTCTTTCAGAAATGTCTTTCCACCCTTCCCACTTAATGTTTCCATTAAAACATGAAGGTATTCAGTCTCAATTAATCCTGTCACATGATATGATATCTGAATCCTATTTTTGTAGAGGTTTCTGTCATGTACATAGTATACAAAACATTTTGTAAATAGCTTGTTGCTATGAATCACCCTGATTCAGCTCCATAGTAATGCTAGAAGTAACCAGTTCATATTGGACTTCAAACTACAAAGCACTTCAGACTACTCAATCACAGTTTATTTGGGATTAACAAGCTATGGTTATTTTCTTGGACTTTGTGAAGCACCATTTTGGCATGTGTCCATGGGAAAAAGATTATATGCTGAGGAAAAGGAAGCTACATTTATTTCCTTAAACAGTTTTATAGTGATAATGAAAATTATGAACAATGGATAGATGGAGTTCTTAGAAGGAAATTTTCATGATTATCGAAAATGTAGTTTAAAGGTGCTGGGAAAAAGTCTGTTTGTCTTATCCTGCTAACAAAGAAGCCAAAATAGCTATTAAATTTGGTCATCTGGAACATTTATTTTTGCCTCCAATATTTTATGAAAACAGTGACTTTTTAACTGTAATTTATTCTGAGGCTGTTTTATGTCTGCTGTAGAAATAACATTATTAACTGTCAGTTCATTACACCATTTCATTTTTTTCCCCCTTTCTTTTAGGTGGGAAGAGATAGAGAAAGTGGTGCCTCCCTTCTATAACTTAATCTAAAACCAAAATAACTTTTTGTTCTACTGCTATAACTGTCTCATTTGTGAGTCACTGTACGAAGCAGAGGTTGGGGAGTTTTAAGAACTGTAGATTAAGCACTTCAAAGCCAGCCTTGACTAATATTTATGTGCGTTTAAGACTACACGAATATACAGTAACATCCAGGAAACTCAGCCAGTAATTCATAAAAGTCAAAATGTTCTGTTTCAAATGATTCATAGCAGTGCAAATGATATGAGAAGACCCCCTTAGATCATTGAGCCCAATTGCTCTGCATCTTCTTCTTTACTAATCCCACTGGATTTTCATCTAACCTGTGTTTGAAAACCTCTAATGTAGGTGACTCAGCTACTTCACTAGTCAGTTTATTCCATTGCCTAATTGTCAGGATTTAAATGTTTTCTCATGTTTAATTTGATTTTTTTCCATTTTTAGTTTTATTCCACTATGCCTTGTTTGACCAATTTATGACTCTAGAAAATAATCCTTTCCTCTTCTGCAATACCACTCAAACATTACATATCCCTTTAAATGGCTTTTTCTCCACCAGCTATTCAAATGGTAATCCCATCAAGTAGTTTTTGGATGTCTTTTAGCACTTATGCCATTTTAATTGCCCTTCTTTGAAGTTCTGTTCATTGTTCAAGCTCATTTTTTAGAACAAGAGGCTCAAAAGTATATTCTAAATATAGACTTACTGTGACTAAAAATTATATCTTTACATTCAGTGACCACTTTAAAATGTTTCCTTTGATAGCAAATTAGGACTGCAGTATACTATGTTCTTTGGATAAAGGAAATGTCTACAGAATACTCAGAACATTGGGATGACAGTTTCTAGAAGACAAATACAAAAAATATGGGTTTAAGGACAGTCATTAAACTACTGAGGTTGCCATTTATTTTTATGATATTGTCTTGGTGACTCAGATAACTGCAGTTTTAGTCATCATCATAGAACACAAATGAACCCTCCCCCTGCCCGCAATGTCAATGCTCTGTTTGAAACTTTCTTACATTTATACACTATTTTGAGGATTTAGGTGGTACATGTATTTGTGGCAGCCAACTGTACAAAGGCGAATTTCATTATCATGTTCTAAGAGGTTCATTCCCAGTTCATAGCTACATCATTATATCTCAAGAAGTGCATTAATATACCGTCATCTGTTCTTGCAGTTTGCAGAGTGTAGTGTTAGTCATCTACAAAGATCATTTGGTTGTCTGTAGAATGAAATATTTTGAGAAGCTTACAATGGGGGATAGAGGGTGGAAGAAGAATTGATCTGGGAAGAAACTCTCATGAGTCAAGCTGGAGAACCTCTGATACAGAATTTTTAATCTGATACTATGTATTTCTCTCTATCTGTACAAGCTTGCCAGAGCATGCTGCTCCCTGATATTAATTATCCAGCCTACCATGATTTATCATCTGCCAATTTGGTCATTGTGAAATTTGTATTGTTCTACAGATGATTAATGAATGCTGCACATTGGAAAAATGCAGGTCACAGCTCAGAGGACTGGTTGTTGCAGGACAGATCTCCACTTCTCCACCCATTTTAACTTTACCCAATTGAAGTAATTTCGATTCACACCTACTACACAAATACACCTCACCCTAACTCTTTCATGCTAGAGTACTTCCATTCTTGTAGCTCCTTTTCTGAACTTTTTATATTTGTGCATCTTACTGTATCAGAAAGTTATAGGAGAGCAAGATTAATTGTGCCTGCTAAATTAATTTTATTCTGCAAAAATGAAAAACTACTCAGTAAATCTTAAATGACCTACTAAGTTTCATGAATTTAAGTTATTTATCATTAAGACTCTGTAGTTTGTCACTGCAGTTTTTAGGAATAATAATGTGGAGGCTAACAGGAAATAATCAATATCATGGAAATACAGATTTCAAAAGGTTAAAGCTCTGGGACATTACTTGGTCTCAAATGACTTTTAAAAATTTTTTTAACTCAGAAATAAAACATATATTCATTCAAAGTACAAAAGAAACAAATGAGTTACATTTTTTAGTTCATCTCCTTGCCAATGTAGATATGCCCCATATCTTGATAAATCTTCAGGCCTAAATTTTCCAAAGTAAGTAATGAATTTCAAAGGTCCCAAGTTTGGGAGACAAGTTAAAAGACGCTGATTTTCATGCTTTTTAAAAAGAAGGACTTCTAAAGTATCCTTGTCCTATGAATGACCTCTAGCAATCTAAATTACATTGGCCTAATATCACATTGCAAACTTGCGCCCTCTGAGATTCTCTCAGTCTTATGGTGGCTTCTGACTCTCTTTCTCTCACGTGTTTCAAACTGGTGTTCCCCCAAGGTATTTTAAGTTGAATCTTACTGTTTCCTCTCCATTTTACTAATCTCTGTAGGCTGCTGGCAGTATTTCTTGCTCCTTTTAGGTCTTTGGAGTTCATCTCAGTTCATTGTAATCTGCACATACTGTTCACCCCTTCTCGATCATTAATTAAGATATTAAATGAGATGTAACCAAATGCTGATCCCTCTGGCACCCCAGCATGTGCTGTGTGCTAAGAGTTTTGAACAAAGGAGCTGCCATGCCAGAGCTGACCTTTTGTAAACCTAAATTGGTTCTCAACATGGTAATTTTAATTGTCCTTTTAAAAAAAATAGACACTTTGACAAGGGGGAGCCTCAGAGCCCCTTGGGGAATTGAAGATCTTGCTGAGAATCCACTGCTTTTGGTCTTTTGTATCACCAGGCTCTTATCATTGAGCTCTTGCTCACTATTAGCCTTTCTGGCATTTTACAACTCCAGTCTTAAGGCTCTAAGTAGTTTGTTCATCTTCCTACCGTCAGATGCAGGCACATGCTGAAATGCCCAAGAGCCAAAGCCACTGACCATTAGGAAAATCTACAAACATAGGGGCAGGGTGAATTATGCCCATGTAACTGAAGGTGAGGGATCTTAGTTTTAGTTAAACTAGCACAAAAGGCTGTAAGGACATGCTTATTGAGACATCATGGCCTAGTAGATGGAGTGATTGAACAGGGACTCAGAAAATCCAAAGACTTTGTCGTTGCTCTGCTTACCTACTAGATACCTTAAGTGAAATCACTGTGCCTCATGTGTGCCTCAGTCTCCTCCCATGTAAAAAGGAGGTAATGATACTGACTTCCTTTGTAAAGTGCTCTGAAAATCTACTGCTGAAAAACGCCATATGAGAGCTTACCACTTATCTTTATGTTATTATTTTAGTTTAATTTAGGCTTATTTTGGTTTACCTTGTGTCAGCTTGGCATAGTTTTGAATAAAAGCACAATCAGTCACTTTTAACCTGAAATAACAATGAACAAAGGGGCTTGTGCTGGTTTAACTGAACCAAGTTTAATTCAACTGTTCATGCTGGTGTTTGGACAAGGCTATATTTTGACCATTCAGTATTCTCTTTCTCAATATTAAAGTTAACTGAAATAACTGTTTACCACTTTGTTCCAGATTTCTTGCTTCCCTCATATCTGCATTTCTATCAGCTCCAAGACTGACTTACTGTTGCACAGTTGGCTTTTTAATATGGCTGAATAAAGAAAAATGCTCTGATACTAGTTTCCTATTTCTGTCTTGCCAAAAGTGTCACCTTGCATATTCAACAACAGTCTTTATTAATAAACATGAAAGGCTTGATTCTTTATTGCATTGCAGCTAATTATACTAGTGCAAGCTATGTTTAAAAGGCAACTAAATCTGAATGGGAACAAATTATGCCCACTTGCGTATGTATTCTGTTATTTTTCCCCCTTGGAAAAAAAGTAGTACTTGATCATGTAAACTAAAAACCATAAAAGGGGCCAGAATAAATTTGAATGGACTTGTTCAGCAATTTCCTAACTTTTGAGTGATTGACTTTGTTATTTTATCACTCTTTAGGCATAGTGACTTCGTATGCATGTAATGCTTGAGTGTCTCTAGCTACAACCAAAACCTTTCTAAACTGTGGTAGAATCAACAACTTGTTACATAAAGTTGCAAAACATATCCCAATTTTTTTTAATATCTTCATCTTTCTTTCTTTTTCTTTCTCCTTTTAGATTTATCCCAGAGTGTACTGGATGAAGAAGAAAAGCCATGAAATTCTGAAGATTTTCCTCAGAAGGATATATCTATCTGATGTCAAATGCATTGACAATGCAGCAGTACCAATCTGTATTTTACTCAGTACCAAATGGAGCCTCCAGAAAAAAAACGCTCTAAAAACTGCACAAAAAAGTTCCATTCACATCAAATTGATTGGATCTTCTGGCCAACTACTAGATTTAGCATCCTTTCTGTGAACAAAGTCTAACCACTTACCAAACTGTTGTAAGGTACATTTATGTTAATCTGCAATATCAGCCCTCCATAAGGACTCTGTTGATTGATCAAAGAGTGTTTACATACACTTAAAAGCAACCTTTGTTTCTGGATATGTTTTATCTGATTGTTAAGATATTCTGTACTCTTCCTCCCTTTGAGATTACATTACCGTTTTCTCATAATGTAACAGTTTTGACAAAAGATAACCATCTTCTTTCCTCCTCTGCTAACTAGTCTCTATTTCTACACAGCTGAATTCACCACCAAAAGAAAGGTTGATAATCCACCAAGGTTCCTCTACCCCCATCCCTGATATATACTTCTACTCTCAGGAGATAGAGTAAAATATAGTAACTTGATATAAAGACATAGTGTCTTCAACCCTTTTGCCATGAAGTCACTGCAAAGAGAAGTAAAATTTAAATTTAAAGTTCTGTGAGCACTGTGACATGCCAATCTTTTCCTGCATTAAATGTGATATCTGTAATTCTGATTAGGGTCAAGATTTTCAAACATGATGAGTGATTATGAATGCCTTAATTGCGTAACCCAATTTGAGACAGCTTAAAGAGGATCTCAGTTTTAGAACATGCTGAGCAGTCACTGTCTGAGAATCAGGCTCAAGAAGGTGTCTCAGTTGGAACATCCAAAGTGGAAGCACCTAAAAACACCTTTGAAAATCTTGGCCTAGTTTTCTGAAGTGTCAGGTACACAGATGAATTCTTGAGAGTAACATGAATGTAATGTCAACATAAAGCTGCATATAATGGCCTCAGCATAACAGAGACCTGGCTCTGAGCATAGGAAATATGTCTTTTTGTTTTGGCCTATTGGTGGAAATACAAAATAAGAAGTTTTGGCTTCTTTGGCAGCATACATGAAATGAATGGTATGTCTCATTTTGTAACAGACACACGGCAAAATCTTCCTTCACACTTGGCACCGTTGGTGGCTGGCTCAGCACAAGCACCGAAAAGCTTAATAACATATAAATTCACTATTCCAAGAAAAGATCCCTCCAACTCAGTTTGGAGAACTTTGGGTTGGGGTGATGGCTGTAGATTTGTACTACTTTTTACCAACAGTAGTCCGTGCTGTACCTGTCCTGTGGATAGAGATGGGACTTGATTCTCCAAGACCTCCAGTCTGGGAGCCTTCATTACCACTAAGTCTACTTTTAACTTCTTCCCACCTCCCCAATGCCAAAAATATTTGCTCCCATCCTGCAACAGTTGTGCATTGCCAGTAGGCCCCTAGGTATCCTTGTGGTACTGCTCTATCAATAAAGTTGATGTAACTGTAGTTATGCAGAACTTTTTAAACAGATTAACTGCTAAATGAAGCCAAGTAATAAGGAAGCAAAGGAAAGCCACATGTGGCCCTGAAACTCGTTGAACATGCAGCAGTCCCATCTGGTTGGTCTTGTTCTCTAGTAGACCTCAAAGACCTTCCAGGCACAGGGATGAAGCTGCCTACTTCTTTCCCTGAGGGGGCAATCAGCATCCCTCTGTTTGCAGTGGAACAATTGCTCATGCAGAGTTTTCTTTGCTATTGCATCCCTCCCGCATGTTTTCCTGCAGGAGGGCAGTATCAAACTCATCATAAGGAGAAACCTGCCCTCCAGCTCTGTGAAAATTGTACAATAAAAGAATCTCCCATAGTCTCCATATACACCTCAGTGACTAAAGAAAATCCATGGGAGCTAATCAGTTACTGTAGCTATTAGGCTTAAACTTTAACCACAGGTCTCAGATCTTCTCTTGTGTACTATCAGTGGCTACTAGATAATCTAGAGAAGTCAACTGCAATTATTATTAAAATCCCATACTATAGAAGTGCCATTACAATGTAGATTCCTGAGCCAAAGAATTCTATACTGTTATATACAGCATCTGGAAAGGAAAACATATGGCTTTAGTGGGATAAATTATAGTGTAGCAATTATCATTATTGGGTATGAGCCAAACACTCAAAACTGTCATCAACTTCAGTGGAAATTTTGAGTAAGCAGTGAATAGAGGTTCAGGTCAGTTATATGTGTCTATTTCTATAACTTTTATAACGGTGAAGCGTGTTAGCTTTGGTGTTGCTTCTGTTTGCCTATTCTATGCTATGCTATGCTTTGCAAGATGAAGTCTCTGTGGGGAATGAACCTATAATACTTCTGAAGGGGAAAAAAAGCAATAGCTAGAGAACAAAGAAAGAGAAAATAGTGCATAGTGATAATTTATGGTCTCTTTTTGTCTCATGATATATTGTGGCATTCAGTAGTATCATCAGGTTTTAAAACAGATATATTTACCCTGGGTATAAAAATAATTTGTTTTTCCTATGGCCATGTAATCCATTGAATTTAGAGGAAATAAGTCATTGCAGTTTAGTTGCTTACCCTATAGTGTAACAGGAACCAACATGAAGCAGCTCTCAGAAGTTCTCAAATGCAGTATGAATGAAAAATCTGGCTAGGTGATTCTATTATGTGCAGGATTTGCACCAGTACTCAGTCCGCTGTCCTGTTAATAAGAGACCACATTATATAAAAACAAGGTTGGGGTTGTAAATACAATTTTCTAGTTATTTATGCTCTAAAGAAATACTCATTGAAAAAAAAACATTCTTACTTGGAGTAAAGCAAGCTTTAAATATGCAGTGTGTCTATTCTTAATCAGATTACTTGAAGAAAATGCTATATTTTTATGTAAGGTTTAGTGCAAAAAAACCTTGAACTGGTCATTTTATCAAACGCAATTATAGACATAGTTAGAGGTAGAAATAGGAAGCACATTGTGATATTATAAAAGCCATCCTGTCAGTGGTACCAACTTTTTTTATTGTTTATATCTACTGCTCTTTGAAATGCATTTTCTAAAGTAAGTTGTGCTATAAAATGAAATATACATTTGATTTTCTTTGAACTACAGAATGCTTATAAAATGTTTACTGAATGATATTTGTCCAAGGTTTTTTCTTCAAGTTTTTTAATTCAATCCCTCCCTCCTCCCCCTCTTTCCTTCTCTCTCTTGCGTGTTTGTTTTGGGAGTTTTCACCCTTGCATTTTAGAACAATACACTAAAAGGTTTATTTCTATACTGACCAACATGCAGCTGAGTTTCTGAAAATCTGGGCTCAGCTAAACTTTTTGGGTTTCAAGACTCTGTGGTTTGCACATCCCCAAATTGATTCTTCAGTCCAAGTAATGTTCAGCTAAAGCAAGGAATCACAACAAATCAGCATTTCCCAGGAACTGGATTTCATTTTAGTATTGTCTGTGTTTCTCCTCTTCAGCTTTTACTCTGCAGACTGAATTAAATGTATGCCTGAATGTTCTTATCCTTGTTCTCATAGTGCATCTAAAGAGTAATTTGCTGCCATGAACTAAGGTATGCTGAGCAGAGATTGTAATTTCTATGTGAAACCCTTTACAGTAGAAAAAAGCATCACAGTCTATGCATTATGCTGAATAAATATCTTTTCTTCTCATCAGTATGTCCTGTTTACAAATTCTCTATTCCAAAACCCAAGCAGCTATAAGACTTAAATATATATGACAATAGTGTAGTGGCGTGTCTGGATTTCTATGTTTACTGCTTTGAAATTAGTTTTGAGATTTTTGTAGTTTTGAATCTCAACACAAAACTTCCTTTACTCTGACAAACTTGTGTAACCTAAGGTCCTTCCAGCAGTTACATGTGCACTTTGTAGTTGAGTTAGAACCTCTGCAACTGCAGTGACTCTTGAGGCAAGTGAGTGCTCTTAATTCCAGCTGGAAACAGTGAAAGATTCATGCTGCTCAGTGCCTCACAGGGAGCATTTGGCATCTGGCAGGATTAGGGCTGTCCTTAGCAACTGTGATCCCGGTTTGCATTCAAATGCATCAGTTTTCCAGAACATATCATTTGGAGACTTCAGTAGACCGTGCATTAAAGACAATTAAATGTTGACAACCATTGGTTGTTTTAAAGTAAGAAATCCCTGCTCTGCTTGATCATCCTCTATATTTCAGTTTCTTGCAGTGTTGTCTAATGTTGAACAGTATTGGAAATTGCCAAGCCCAATTTTATCCCAAACCCACTATTTAAGATGACAGGAAGGTTGGAATCTGAAGCATCAAAAATAGGATTCAAACAAATGCTAAGAAAAATTAATTGTTTGGAGAACTTAGTTTATCTCCTTTACTGATATCCATATTTCTTAACTGTGACTGACGGATCACAGCACAGATACCTAGCAGTTTTATTGGCATTAATAAGTGATTTAATTAGTAAGGGGATGGAAGCATAATCTACTTAAATAATTCAACCCAATATCCCCTGGCAAGATGTCTTGGCTACAATATCTTTACATCTGCTGTTGCCAGGAGTACAGAAGAAGTGCAAGAAGCACAGATATATCCCAACTCTTAGTTGTTATTAATAACTTCTTCAGTGTTTCACAGATATTTCTATGCTGTGGGAATCTGAAGAGACAACATAGCATTCTACTTACAGACTCGGTCATTGATATAATGTGAGGTTCTTTCACTGCCTGTGACCACATTATTACATATGCACTCTGTTGAAAGTTGAGTTCAAAATCTTTTTTTCCAAATAAAAAGACTGAACAAAATTATTTGGGTAAAATAACAAGTATTAAAAATTAACTAAGAGTACTAGATCTACAGACTTTAGGGCTAAGTACAAACAGCCAAAAAACCCAAGACTGAATCGATTCAGCCTTTGCAGGTTAGTCTAGGCTGCAGAGATTAAAATGAGAAACAACAGGACACACACTTGCATTTGATTCAGGAAATGCAGCCACATGACTGCAGTGGCCCAGGCCAGAAACTGGGCGGGGAGCTAGAGTACAGCTCTCTGGTATGAAGCTTGCATGGGCTGTGTGTTTGCTTCCTCTTCCTGCTGCCCCCAAGGTCTCTGGGATTTGCAGTCCACAACCACAGCAGCAGGACTCTGCAGTGTTGTCCATCAGTTCCTCTTCCTGCTTCCAGGTACCTCTGGGATTTCTAGTCCACAGTCGCAGCCAGCAGTAAGTTTTCGGCAGGGCAGGGCAGGGCACGGCAGGGCAGTCCAGCTCTGTACTCTGGGGAATGGAAATTTAATCCCCATCCCTGGCCCCAGACCCCAGGTGGCATATGCCTGGGTTGGGGGGAGCTGTCCCTGCCTCTCCCCCACCCCCACCCCTTCTCTGCTGGAGTAGGCAGCACAGCCCAGCCCAGCCCAGGGCTGAAAATCATGCTGGGGTGCTGGGGGACTCTGATTTAACTTGAACCAAGAAGGAGTCTGGGACAGAAGTTTCATAAACTGGTTTGACCCAAATCAGTTAAGTCTGATACTACATTCAACCAGTTTTATCCTAAACGAGTTTCAGCCATTTTGAACCTGGTTTATGTACACTGAAATTCAGTTCTGTTACAGGTTTAAATCAGTTTCTGATGACTTAAACCAATTTAAATGCAACTTCCATCCCTAGCCTAGGACATAAATCAATAGGTGTTAGAAAGAAACATTTCCAGCCAGTGGCTTATTTTATAACTGTGTATTGCAGGCAGTGACATACCATGAGTCTCTGGTGCCCTGGGGCCAATGCTTACATTTGTGCCCCACTTCCCTCCCAACTTTCTCATAGCAATACTTAAAAATACTTAAAGTCACATTACACGATAAGAACTCTGAAGGGCCCGGCTGGCCCCTGGGAGCCATGCCTCCTCCCACCCCCTGTCAGTCCACCACTGATTGCAGGGCTTCTTATTTCTTCCTCTTAAGCAGCTGGTGCTTTCTGACTTCTAGGAAAATGGTAATGCCAGATTCTATTCAACCTATTAAACATCTAGGTACAGTTAGGCAACTGAGAGCCTTCTTCACCCTGTTCAAGTCCCAAAACTCCATGAATGAATCTACATTTGTAATACATCAACATATGCTTAAGAGTGAGTCAGAAGAAAGCTGTGAGAAGAGGGAGGATGTTTCCACCTTTGGCATTAACTATTTTTCAGGGACTCAAGATGCCGACGTCTGTTTAGATGCCCAACAAGACAAATAGAATCTGGCCCCCAGTGTTTCCAAAATGGCAACGGAGACAGGGTAGACCATTCTTTTTCAGTCCATCAAAACAGCATTTTTCTCCATGGGATACAACTGGTCTGTTAAAAACTACCCATTTTAAAGTTATTATGCTTCTCACGGTAGTACTTTAGACTTAGTACAGTGCTAGTAAACTAGATTTTTGGAATGGTTGTTTAGTGCCAGTGTAGTCTACATTTTCATCCTAAAATGTTTCTTTGGTCTTTCATAGCTTTTGTTCTTGGAAAAAGAGTTAAGAATCCAGAAGAAAATGATAGTGTTTGATAAGAGCAGGCTAGGAGCTCAGAATGTTTCATACATAAGCAGAGATGATCAGTACATACCATTATCCACAAAACACCACCCCACAGAAGCTGCCCACTGGGTACCAACTAATATTGTATGCAACCAAAGAAACATAAAATACAACCTTTGTTCCAATTATGTAAGCTATTGGCTGGTCAGTGATCCTTAGATTGGATGTTGATACTAAACCAGTATTATGAACTGCTGAAAGGCCTAGACCAACTTCAATGAAAGTGAATATTCTGCCACTACTTTTGGTGGGATCAGAATCATTTCTTAACCTATTAGTTCATTAGAAGCACATGCTGTAGCAGTACACTTATAAATAAATACATTTCCTCCTAACTAAATGATGACATAATTAGTGAGAATTAGTCAAAAAGGGCAGCATTTACCATAGGTTGCCAAAATAGTCATCTTAAGTATACATTGTACAATTACTGCATTCCACCCCAAAGTGGCTGTCTCACAAAGGATGTTATATTTTATACGGGATCTTTCAGCCTGAAAAAAACCAAAGCACTTTGTCATCTCTGATATATAGGAATTATTCTTCTTACTTCTGAAATGTAGTCATTTCTAGGGCGAAACAGTGACTTAGAAAACAAGTTAAGAAAAATGCCCTCTTTCTGAAGCTGTCAAAAGAATGTATTTTCAGAAGGAAGTTTTGGTAAACAGAATACCATTACCCAGTTTGGGATTTGTTCTGTACAACACACTAATATCCCTTCTTTGAAAAATATCCTAAATGAAGGCAGAAGGCAGTGTAAATTTGCACCTTTCTAGACAAACTGAATCAGAGATGTGTTGTATAAGCAATAACAGGGGGTATTTAAGTCCCTTCAGAGCATGTTAGCCTTCTGTTTATGAAAGCTTATGCTATACATCTCTGATTTAGATAGTCTACAAGCACCTTGTTACTCAGTAATTTTGCACAGCTCCTAGAGCTGTTAACCCCTGAATTGCCTTCACATTAATACATGAAACTAGTTTTAAGCACTCTAATGAAAAATCAAACCACTCCGGGCAGGATTATCTCTGATCTGTGTTACCCAGCTCATGTTACATGAAGATGTAGCCACTCTAGGCTACACTTTAATGTAAATCCCCTACCCCCTCTCCCCTGCTGGCCTGGATCAGACCCACTGCCCCTCTCTGCCCTCCCCAGCACCTCAGATCCCTGCTCACTGCCCCGTTGCCTTGTCCTGCTGTTTGTGCTGTCTGTCCTG